TTGGATAAAGAAAATGTGGTATTAATACTTATATACCAAGGAATACTATGCAGCCATAAAAACAATGAAACCATGTCCTTTGCAGCAACATGTATGCAGCTAAAGTAATGCAGAAACAGAAAATCAAATAACATGTTCTCACTTATAAGTGGGAGCTAAACATGGGGTACACATGGACATAAAAAGGAGAACAATAGACACTTGGAAATACAAGCGTGAAAAGGGAGTGGGGCAACGGTTGAAAAATACCTATTGGGTTCTATGCTCACTGCCTGGGTGATGGGTTCAATCGTACTCCAAACCCCAGCATCATGCAATATGCATTTCTAACAAACATGCACTTATACTCTGGAATCTAAAATAAAAATTGAAAAAAAGAAAGAAAAGAGAGCCCAGGATGCAGTGAAATATATTTAATAATCTGTGAATATTCTCAAAGCTCTTCTTCCCATCACAAATAATAAACATTGATGATCATTGTCTAGATTCATTAATTCATTAGGGTTTAAAATAGTGGTAATCTAATTCTGTCATCCTTTCTTCAATTTACTTGCTGGAAAGAGAAAATTCTATAAAGAGAAAATTCAGTGACTTAACCTAATAAAAGTTTGTTTTTTGCTCAAGCAATAGTCCAATGAGACTGCTGCTAATGTCTTTAATATACCGGACTCCTCTAGGCACTAGCTCAGATCACTTTCCTCTTGTGATTCTCTGCTCTTCTGGGTCTTTGGAATCTTCTCTATTAAGTTGGTTAATGGAAAAAAAGAATGGGGGATCAGATGTGGCAAGATTTTACAGGCCAGGCCTGGAAGTGTTCTTTTTCTACCTATATTCCATTGACTAGAACAGTCATATGGCTGTACCTAACTGCAAGGGAGGCTGGGATATGTAGTTCAATTGAATGTCCAGGAGGAAAACAGAAATAATTTGGTAAATCATTAAACAGTCTCTGGCCATATGGCCATAAGCTTGATAATATACAATCATACATTTATAATTTGTGGTAAATGCTATAAAGTAAAATAATGTATACAAATGAGAATAATGGGCTGGGAGTGGATAGCTATAATACTTCAGGAAAGTCCTTTGCAATGAGATAACATTTAAGCTGAGACCTAACAAATGATGACAAGAGTGGTGGGAGAAAGAATGTTCTAGGCATGTATGAAGGTCCTGAGGTAGAAAAGAGCTTAGAGAATCCAAGGACCTGCAAGAAGATCCATGTGGCTGAACTCAGAAAAGAGAGTTATGAGACAAAGCTAGACTGGTTTGTCTCTATCATAGTCCATATCATGTGCTCCATAGTAAACGGTAGTAGAGAAAAGTGGAAGTGATAAAAAGTTAATATTTAATCCCAATAGAAGAGGAAGGACATTGTATGATTAGTGTTTTTTAGCATTTAATGTTAACAGCAATGGAAAGGCATAATGTGGTTAGTGTTTCTAACAGAATGTTAAAATGGGACTCTTCCTGACTCATTGCAGCTGAGGGCCTAATTACCCCACATTCCAAAGTGAAGTGAGTCAGATCATCCATGGCAGAATTACAAAAGAGGTGCTGAAACCACTTCTATGGATCTTCACTCCTCTGCCTATCTTAAGGCTATGTAGGAACTGAAATGGAAAAGGCTAAGGAGAGCATTGAAAGAGTCTCCAATGCATTATGTCTTCCCTACAACCCCATGAGAGATTGGTAGGACAGGTATTTGTACCTTACCTCAGGTGTGATAGAGAGGGATACTCCAAGGAGACCACATGGAAGGTTTGACTTATGTCCTGTGGAGTCCATGGGTCGCAGAAATACCTGGTAAACAGCTTACTGGCATCAAAGTAAGGTACTGCATTTGGAAAATAAGTGGCATTGGCAGATTGCATTGGCAGCTCCAAGGTATGAAATTGTTGGTAGGAATATATACATAGGGTCATTTAAAAAGGGATTATGCTTAAGAGGCCTTCTGCCCACACCAGACAACCTTAGCAGAAAGAGTCTGGAGATGTGTCTTCAGATTCAGAAGCTGAAGGTGGGGCTGGAGTGGGTGTGTAATCATCCCGCTAAGGTTGAGGCTTTGCCTATTTCAATGAGCTCCAATTAGAGGAACTTACAGAGGACTATCTAGCCTGCATTAAGAAAACCCCCCAAAACCCTGAGAGTAAGAGTCAGCTTTAAACACCTGCCATGGCTAGAGTCTGTCAATGCTAGATTACAGCTGTGTCTGTCACACAAGATCTTTTCTGTTCCTTATCTCTCTTTCCTGGCCCCTCCACCGCTGGCTGGCTGAAGGGGCTGAGACAATGAAGAGGAGGAGGCCCGGAGAGAGGAGCCAACCCCACCACAAAGGCCGCAAGCCCAAGCAGGTTTGGGTGGGTGGTGAGGAGGAAGCATTAACCATAATGAAGTTCAGAGTTTCAACCAACACACTGAACTGGGCATTTTTATTATTGAAATGAGACTATTTAGTGACTAGAAGAGAGAATTCGTATGAGAGTGCCAAAAAATGTCAAGGGATTTGCCCCAGGCACCAGGAAAGAACCTGTCCTGTAGAGCTGGTTTGGTCAGGCTGCTGGGAAGAAGAGTATAAAGTTGTTTTCTGTTCTTACTTTAAGGTTTCTGGTTCTGTATAAAAGTGACTTGTTTTAGTGAACCCTGTCTCTACTAAAAATACAAAATACAAAAAAAATTAGCTGGGCGTGGTGGCGCATGCCTGTAGTCCCAGCTACTTGGGAGGCTGAGGCAGGAGAATTGCTTGAACCTGGGAAGTGGAGGTTGCAGTGAGCCAAGGTCACGCCACTGCACTCCAGCCTGGCGCCTGGTGACGGAGTGAGACTCTGTCTCAAAAAAAAAAAAAAAACCTTACTTGTTTTAAACAGTCACTCTGGTTGCTGTGTGGAAATCAGACCAGAGGATGGCCCGTGTGAATGCAAAGGGTCAGTGAAGAGGTGATAGCTGGCTCCTCTACTTCCTAGCTGTGTGATGTGGGAAAAGTCAGTTAACTTCTCTGTGCATCAGTTTCTTCATCTTAAAGTAGTGCTAGAATGCTTTCTAGGGTTATTGAGAAGACTAAATCAGCTAATGCATTTAAAGTACTTAGAGGAGTACCTGACCCATAGCAAGAATTATAAGGTGTTTGCTACTGTTTTTATTTCAAAAATTCTAATTGTAGCAGCCTTAATGTAAGACAGTGTTGACTTTGATTGTCTTTAACCAGAGAGTGAGAGAAAGCACATGATGTATTTTAGAATGATATTCAACAGGGCTTTGTGGGGGATGCTTGGATGTGGAGACTGAGGCAGAGGGAGAGGACAAGAATCGCTCCCAGGGTTCTGGTTTGGACATCTGGATGGAATTGAGATGACTGAGATTGAGGAGGACAAGAATGGTATAAGGCTTAATAGAGATTCCTAGTTACTGATGCTTTAAAAAGTATGTATTTTATTTTATTTTTTTTAGAGACAGGGTCTCACTGTTTCCTGGGCTGGAGCGCAGTGATGCAATCATAGTTCACTGCAGCCTCGAGCTCCTGGGCTCAAGTGACCCTGCCACTTCAGCCTCCAGAGTAGCTGGGGCTACTGGTGTATGCACCATGTCTGGCTAATTTTTGTATTTTTTAAATTGTAGAGACAGGTTCTCACTATGTTGCCCAGGCTGGTCTTGAACTTCTGTCCTCAAGCCATCCTCCCGCCACGGCCTCCCAAAATGTTAGAATTACAGGTATAAGCCACTGTGCCTGGCTAAAAGTCTATGTTTTAATAGCACTGAAAGATCTGAGCATCATGGGAATGATTTTTCTGAAATGTAAAGACTCTAAAACAAAGTACTTGTTTTGCTTGCTCAATTTTCTGATCCTTTGTCCCATTCTTTTAGATAATGATGCAGGGGATTCTAGCTAATTATGTAATAATATGGTTTTCCTTTTGAGAACCAAGAATGACCTCAACAGGCAACCTGTCCTTGCGTAATAAACACTGTTAGAAAATAAATAATATTAACAGTTCTAAAATTAAAGTTATCGTCATTGATAGATGTCTTCTAAAATTGCTGTATGTCTATAATAAACGTAATAAAAATATATTTATCCATGGGTACTGCAATATAGTGACAGCTGTTTTTTTTCAAAAGCACACACACAAACGCACAGATAAAATATTAGTGCTTATGTTTTAAATACCTTGAATGGCATGTCACCTTACGTTTGCTATTTATGTTGATCTTTGAAACTGGGTTAACAGCCTGATTCCCATCCTAAACATATGCTGTGGAGATATAGGAACACTGTCCTTTGGTATTAACTCCCTATTTTCTTCCCTGTCCCCCTGGGATACAGTGTTGAGAACCAGAATTTATCTTTTGCCTTGCCAAAAGATGTCTTTATTACCCCCTCCTGGCTTGCTAGGGGTTGTGGAAGAGCATTTATATTAGATGCTAGGGCTGACCAATGAATAACTGGCTGAGGGCCATTTTTAGTTTCAGTCCTTAAATTTTGTAGAAACTATAAAAGTGACTCAAATAACTCTTTGTAGACTTGCACATCCCCTCATCAGAACTTTCCTTTGAGGCTGGGTTTTTAAGTGTTCTGTGAGTGGGAAGAGCAGGGTGTTCTCTGAGACCCTGGTGTCCATGATTATCCACCAGGGCTGGAGCCTCATCTGGCTTAATGACTGCAGTATTCTTGATGTAGCAAGTATCCTTTTAGGTAAAAATAATAAATCTGCATTTTAGTGACAGATGTTTGGTTTGGCATATTACTCTTGCTCTTGGCAAATTCATACAATGGCAAAGCCAATCCACATGATCCAGAAGGGAGAAAATAAGATCAAATGTTAAACTACTACACTAATTCCCTAGCAGCTAACAGGTGGATGGGAGAGGAGGCCTTGGCTTTCAAATAGTGACTGTATCAGATAATAGAGGAAAAATTTGAAATCTGTACAGGTACATACCAGGGAGTTAAAGTGCCTAAAACCAAATGTTTGATGTTACTATATCTCCTTTTATTTTTATAGCTGTAGTGATCAACTGGTAACACCCACTTTGAAAATTTTCAAGACCAACATCATCTCAGCCATAAGGTATGGTACCTTGGGGGAATCTATTGGATATTTGTTCATGTACTAGAGTGAACCTAGAACTGCTTATTCCTTTGCTTCTTTTAAAATTTATTTTCTAAAGTCAGCTGATTAGCAAAAAATGAAATACAAATTGTCCTTTAGTTTTCATCAAAGTAATATGCATACATAGTAAAAATAAGGTAGTGTTGAGGAGTTTATACTGAAAAACAACAGCTGTCTGTCACACTTCCCAGTCCCACTTTCCAGAGGAAAACCCCCACTCTTTTTTTGATAAAAGAATTATGTTTTTTTGAGACAGGGTTTTACTCTGTTACCTAGGCTGGAGTGCAGTAGTGTGACCATGGCTCACTATAGCCTTGACCTTCCAAGCTCAATGGATCCTCCCACCTCAGCCTCCTGGGTAGGTGGAACTACGGGTGTGTACCACCATGCTGGGCTAATGTTTTCATTTTTTGTAGCGACAGGATCTCACTATGTTACCCCGGCTGGTCTTGAACTCCTGGGTTCAAGCAATCCTCCCACGTTGCCTCCCAAAGTGCTGGGATTATAGGCACAAGCCACTGCACCCAGTCAATATGACAATTTTTAATCACTGATTTTTATCCCTTTATTCCTTTAATCTGCCTCCTGCAAAGTTACAACTGCAAGTAATTTGGTGTATCTCTTTCAAGACTTTGTTTCTATGTATTTTAGTTATTCTCTGTAATAAAAAAAAGGATTTAGCTACCCTTTCCAAATTTTTTATAGTTATTACAGTTTTATTCTTGGTTGCTTTTATACCTTTAAATAATACATTTAAACCTCTAGTTTTTGTTCCATCAGCCACATATAATGCCTCTTGACTCCCAAGCTATATTTACATATTCATGATTATTTATTGGGTACTTACTATGACAGGCACTGTTCTAAGTGCTCAGTGTACAAAACAGAGCTCTCAGACTCATTGGCACTTACATGGTAGTTGGGGGTAGGGGTGTTCAGATACAGAAATTATACAGTAGACATTAATAAATTCAACATAGAAAAAAAAGAAATACAGGAGAAGATAGTTCAGGAGTCCAGAAAGTGGGAATAATAATTTTAAATCAGGTGATCGGATTTAACCTCATTGAGAGATGACATTTGAGCAACTCAAAGGCAGGAAGGATATTATTCATGTGACCATTTTGGGGAAGAGAGTTCCAGGCAGAGGCAACAGCAAAGGCCCCAAGGAAGGAGTGTGCCTGGCACCTTCAAGGATTACAGGTGGCTAGCAGGGCTAGAATGGATTAAGCAAAGGGCAGCGTGGTGGAGAATGAGGTCAGAGAGATAACAGGGTGAGATGATATAGGGCCATGTGGATCAAAATAAAGAATTTTTGTTTTTGATTTGGGTGCAGTGAGAAACCATTGCAAGGTTTTAAGCAGAGGAGTAACATGGTCTGACTTGTGGTCGGATGGATTTGTATAGCTTCCATGTTGAGAACTGTAAGAAGGCATGGGGGAGGCAGGGGAGTAGTTGCGTGGCTCTTACAGTCATCAAGACAGAGATGCTAGTAGTGCTGACCCGGAGGTGCTTGTGGCGTTGGTGAGAAGAGGTCACATTCTAGAGGTACACCGATGAGACTATCTCTTTTCTCCTTTCTTCCACCTTATACCCTTCCACCTACCATAACAGTGTGTCAACTATACCTTTTTTTTTTTTTTTTTTTTTTGAGACAGGGTCTTGCTCTGTTACCCAGACTGGAGTACAGTGGTGTGATCTTGGCCCCCTGCAACCTCCACCTCCTGGGCTCAAGCAATCCTGCCTCAGCTTCCCAAATAGTCGGGACTACAGGCATGTGCCACCATGTCCAGCTAATTTTTGTAGAGTTGAGGTTTCACCATGTTGCCCAGGCTGGTCTTGAACTCCGAGCTCAAGCAATCAGCCTGCCTTGGCCTCCCAAATGTTGGAATTCCAGGCATGAGCCATCAGGTGTGGCCTAGACTTTTGTTTTTATGTTTTCAGGGTTAATGATAAATTCTTTCTTTATCATAACCCATCTTTCATGTGTTGCTTACAGTTTGATTCTGAGAGTTAAAAAATCAACACAACCCCCACATTTGTGTTAGGACTATTTAATTAGTATTCATTACTTAGACATATTATATGCAAAAACTACATTTCCTTTTTTATAGGTCCAAGACCATCACCTCTGGGCTCTTTGAAGAAGGATATTCTAGAGTCTAAATTAAATAAATTCTCTTTTATAAGTATAGAAATTGCTGAAAATTTTGCCACATTTTAGCTGGCTTCATATTTGTATCTTGACTTTTCTATATAATTCTTGTTTGTTTTTCCTGGAATTTCCAATTATCTTTCTTTTATCTTGCTGAGAGAAGAAATATATATTTTCTTAACCATGTCGCTGATATCATCTATTTCCATGGTCACTCTTTTTTTTGTGTAAACTACATTTCATTTTTCTTCCTGAAGATAGTATTAATGTTATACTTGGGACCCACTGACTCCCTCTTCTGATTTAGATTGTTTTGTAAACCCCATGCACAGCTGTCACCCTGAACTGATTTCTCTTTATACTCCTGGACAAGTTCTACACTTTCGTGCATTCGATACCTTTGTCTTTGTTGGTTTGCATTTCACTTCTCTGGAATATCTCCAAAAGTATCTTCACCAGAAAAACAGGTGGGAGATGAAATTTCTGAGTACTTGAAAATCTAAAAATGTCTTTAATATGCCTTCACATTGATTTATAGTCAGGTGGAGTACAACATTCTATATTCAAACATTTTTTTCACCTGGAGTATTACTAATAAGAAGCTTAGGCTGGGTGTAGTGGCTCACACCTGTAATCCCAGCACTTTGGGAGGCTGAGGTGGGAGGATTGCTTTAGTCCATGAGTTCAAGACCAGCCTGGGCAATGACAAAACCCTGTCTCTACAAAAAATACCAAAAATGAGCTGGGTGTGGTAGCTTATGCTTGTAGTCCCGGCTACTTGGGAGGCTGAGGTGGACAAGACTCTTCCTTGGAGGAGGGGGTGGGGGAAAGAAGCAGTAGCTTGATGTATTGTTGTTCCTTGGTAGGTGATCTTTTTTCTCTTCCTCTCTAGAGTCTTCTCATGTTCATTGCAATACTATGCACAATAGCCTAGATGTGGGAACAACCTACATGTCCATTGATAGATGAACGGATCAAGAAACTGTGGTATATACATAAAATGGAATATTATTCAGTCATAAAAGGAAATCCTGTCATTTGTGACAACATGGATGAACCTGGAGGACCTTACACTAAGTGAAATAAGATAGTTTTCCATTTGTATGGCAGAGAGTAGAATGGTGGCTGCTAGGGGCTGAGAGAGGGGGAAATGGTGATGGCTGTTCAATGGGTATAAAGGTTCAGTTACGCAAGATGATTAAGTTATAGAGATCTGCTGTATAGCATTGTGTTTACAGTTAATAGTACTGTACTATAAACTTAATTTTTTTTTCAGAAGGTAGATCTTATGTGTTCTTACCACAGCAAAGAGATTAATTAACTTAAAAAATCTCTTAATATTTAATGTTCCAACATTTCATAATGTTGTGTTTAGTTGATCTTTTTTTCATTCATTTTGCCTGGCACTCATTTATGCCCTTCACTAGGAATAGTTACATCTTTCTTTAACTCTGGATGAGACCATATATATATATATATATATATATATATATGTGTGTGTGTGTGTGTGTGTGTGTGTGTGTGTGTGTGTGTGTGTGTGTATATATATATAAATTTTTTTTTTTTTGCTAGTACAAGTTTTATTCTAGGCAACTGCAAATCATCCAAGGGGATGTTCACAAATGACCCCAGAGCCCACTCCCATCCCCCCAGACAGCAGCGGGGCACACATTCAACACTCCTGAGACAAGCATCTGTGTGCTTTTTCTCTACCTTCTCTGGAATAGTCAATCCCAGAATGAATTTGGACACTATAATCTGAACCACCTCAAGTAAGGATTGGTGTAATAGGAACAAACTAAACCACTATATGTGTGTGTGTGTGTGTGTGTGTGTGTGTGTAACCACATACATACTAAAGGTTTTAAAGCTATTTCATTCCTTGTTATTTTCTCGAAATTCTATTTGCTGAATATAGAATCTTGTGGATTTAATCTCTTTTGTTTCATCCTTCTTCTGACATTTTCTCTCTTTTCATCTTTTGCTTTGTGTTCTAGGAGAGGTTCTAAGCTGTCTTTCAACCCTTCTGTTTGTTTTTTTTTTTTTGAGACAGAGTCTTGCTCTATTGCCAGGTGCCAGGCTGGAGTGCAGTGGCACGATCTTGGCTCACTACAACCTCCGCCCCCTGGGTTCAAGCAATTGTCCTGCCTCAGCCTCCCGAGTAGCTGGGACCACAGGTGCATGGCACCACGCCCAGCTAATTTTTGTATTTTTTAATAGAGATGGGGTTTCACCATGGTCTTGATCTCTTGACCTTTTGATCCACCCGCCTTGGCCTCCCAAAGTGCTGGGATTACAGGCGTGAGCCATCGTGCCCGGCCAACCCTTCTGATTTTTAAAATGTCAGCGATCATATGCTTAATTTCTAAGAACTCTTCCTTCTTTTGGATTTTTATTTTGGTTTGTGTGTGTGAAGTTAGGATACGATGTAGGAGTATCCATTCATAGTTTCATGGAAGCAGTATCTTTCAAATGTCTCTGAGAATATTAATTAAATATTTAATTTTTTTTCTATTCCATAGATAACCTGTGTTCTTTTCTTTTCTCAGGATGAATACTATTTATCTCGGTCTTTCTCTTTTATGCTGCTTGTTTTCTTTCTTGTGATCTTTCTTGTCCATTATATTTCAGAATAAGCCTTCTAAGTAGCTTTTAGGAGTTTCTTACTGTGATATATATAAGTCTGTTTTCCCATGGGATATCTGCCAGTAGTGGGATCTCTGTGTACATGGGTGGCAGGCCCAGGTGGGGGCAGATAAGTGATTGTGATAATGCTAGTTATACAAATTTCAATGGCTTTAGATAATAGATGTTTGTTTCTCGCCTGTATTGTGGTCCAATGCCTGATCAGCAGGTGGCTTCTTGCATGTGGTGATTCAGAGACCTAGGTTCTTTCCCCTAGCACTACTTAGCATATCTTTAGGCCTTCTGCCTCTGGCTGGCAGAAGAGTAAATAAGAAAGTGCAAAGGTAACCTACTTTGTTAAAAGCCCTGGCCTGGAAGTGATACATATCACTTCTACTTATATCCTATGTAGCTAAATGACTACATTGGAATGCAAGAGAGTCTGGATAATATAGTGGCTTGGAAGTCACCTCCCAGAAGAAGCATCATAGTAAGGAATGAGGAACACACATTTTTGTCACTCAGTTATAGCCATTGCTTTTGAAAACAGACTTATCCACTGGTCGTGTTCATATTAGGGTTAGAATGCTGGAGCCTTTTAGTTTTAGTTTTAGGGAGGGATGGGGTTACAAAGTACAAGCGTAGAGAGAGCTTTAATTGGGGCACTGGCATCCATTTTTAGCATTTCTGATTCTTCTCAACCATTGTCTAGAGTTCTATTTTGACAGGCTAGGGACTTCGTGTTTCTTTTGTAGAGGCAGGATCTCACTATGTTGCCCAGGCTGCATTTTTATCTCATTGTCTGAGAAATGTAACTTTTCTAAACAATTCTAAAATTCATATGGAACCAAAAAAGAGCCCACATAACAAAAGTATTCTAAACAAAAAGCACAAAGCCAGAGACATCACATTACCTGACTTCAAACTGTACTACTAGGCTATAGTAACCAAAACAGCATGGTACTGGTGCAAAAATAGACACATAGATCAATGGAACAGAAAAGACAACCCAGAAATAAAGCCATATAGCTACAACTATCTGATCTTGAACAAAGTTGATGGAAATAAACAGTGGAGAAAGGATTTCCTATTCAATAAATTGGTCTAGGAAAACTGACTAACCACATGCAGAAGAATCAAACTGGACCCCATCTCTCACTATATACAAAAATTAACTCAAGATGGATTAAAGTCTTAAAAGTAAGACCTGAAACTACAAAAATCCAGAAGAAAACTTAGGAAAAGCCTCTTCTGGATATTGGCTTAGGCAAAGAATTTATGACTAAGAACTCAAAACCAAATAAAATGAAAACAAAAATAGACAAATAGTTAAATGAATGAGCTTCTGCATAGCAAAAGAAACAACAGAATAAACTAAGACAACTTACAGAATGGGAGTGATATGATTTGGCTCTGTGTTTCCACCTAAATCTCATCTCAAATTATAACCCCCATAATCCCCAGGTGTTGAGGGAGGAATCAGGTGGGAGGTGATGAATCATGGGGGTGGTTTCTTCCATGCTGTTCTCATGATCGTGAGTTAGTTCTCACAAGATCTGATGGTTTTATAAGGGCCTCTTCCTTCTTCACTCCACACTTCTCTCTTGTACTGCCTTGTGAAGAAGGACATGTTTGCTTGCCCATCCACCATGATTATAAGTTTCCTGAGGTCTTCCCAGCCATGTGGAACTGTGAGTCAATTGAACCTGCTTCCTTTATAAATTACCCAGTCTCATGCAGTTCTTTGTAGCAGTGTGAGAACAGACTAATACAGGGAGAAAATATTTACTTACTATGCATTCAACAAAGGACTGATATCCAGAATCTATAAGGAACTCAAATGAATCAAGAAGGAAAAAACAACCCCATAAAAAAGTGGGCAAAGGACAAGAACAGACATTTCTCAAAATACAAGTAGCCAACAAATGAAACAAATATGAAAAAATGCTCAACATCATTAATTATCAGAGAAATGCAGGGTAAATGACAATGAGAAGCCATGTAACATCAGTCAGAATGGCTATCATTAAAAAGTAAAAAAATAATAGTTGTTGGCAAGGATACAGAGAAAAGGGAATGCTTATACGCTATTGATGGGAGTAAAAATTAGTACAGCTCCTGTGGAAAACAGTATAGAGATTTCTCAAAGAGCTAAACATAGAACTATCATTCAACTGAGCAATTACAGGGAATCTACCCAAAGGAAAAGAAATTTTTGGATCAAAAAGACATGCACTCGTATGTTTATCACAGGGCTATTTGCAATAGGGAAGTCATAGATTCAACCCTAAGTGTACATCAATGGTTGATTGGGTGAAGAAAATGTCACACAGACACACACACACACACACACACACACACACATATATGTACACACACATGCATATATATCTCATAGAACATAAATATATATATATGTATTATAGAATACTATACAGCCATAAAAATTAATAAAATCATGTCCTCTGCAGCAATATGGTTGGAGCTGGAGGCCATAAGTGAAATAACTCAGAAACAGAAAATCAAATTATGTGTGTTCTCACTTGTAAGTGGGAACTAAACAATGGGAACACATGGACATAAAGATGGAAATAACAGATACTGAGGACTCCAAAAAAGGGGTGAATGGGAGAAGGATGAGGGGTCAGAGATTACCTGTTGGGTACAATGTTCACTACTGGTGATGAGTTCATTAGAAACCCAAACCTTACCACTACATAATATATTTATGTGACAAACTGGAACATGTACCCCAAATGTAAAATTTAAAGAAATATGTAGTTTATCTGTCAGTTCACTTGTTTTTAAAGCATGTATAAATTTAGCAGCTTAGAATATTAGCTTTCTGTGTGCTCATCAGTGAGCACAGGTGGGTAGAGTCTTCTATACCATACTTAATAAAAGGCTAGGTGGGAAGGTGAGTTTGAAGGGTATTTGTTTTAGTTACACTCCAGTTATTTTAACTTGTGTGCTTGAAATAAGTTGGAATCAATGGCTTGTGTTATTTTGGCCCTTCTCATAACTGCCTTGGCTGAGTTGTGTTTTAGCATTAAGGCCTCCACTTTAACAAAACAATTGATAAGAAGCAGCCTTATAAAGCTGACTTTACAATTACTTTAGTGATTTTAAAAGGACGTTGTCTACTCCCTTCATCACTCAGCAATACATTTTTGAATAACTCATAGCAAAACTTGGCTTTTCTGAAGGAGCTGATGTATTCTTTCCTTTCTGATAATGAGAATTGTGCAACAGACTGTATTTCCTCTTATCATCTGTATTTTAGCATTCTCTGGTCTTAACTATGTTAAAACTGTGAGAATGTCTCTGAGGTAATGTAAATTCAGATGGAATTCAACTGGCAATTGGCTCCCAATCTTTACCTGGGTGCAATTCTCAAATGAAGACCAGCTAAAGATATTATCTTCTGCGGGGTGGAGTCAGAAGTGACTACTTTGTGATTATTTGGGGCTTTCTCAACTCAGTGTATGCTACGTATTTTGTAATGATTGGTCCATTTCTTATACATAAATGAAAACAAATAAAACACACATTAACCGTAATTGAGAAGTTTTTTTTTTTTTTTTTTTTTTGAGATGAAGTCTAGCTCTGTTGCCCAGGCTGGAGTGCAGTGGTGTGATCTCAGCTCACTGCAACCTCCGCCTCCCTGCAACCTTCACCTCCCAGGTTCAAATCTCCTGCCTCAGCCTCCTGAGTAGCTGAGATTACAGGCGCCCACCACCATACCCAGCTGATTTTGTATTTTTAGTAGTGAAACAGGGTTTCACTATGTTGGCCAGGCTGGTCTTGAACTCTTGACCTCGTGATCCTCCTGCTACCACCTCCCAAAGTGCTGAGCTTACACGTGTGAGCCACTGAGCCTGGCCTATTTTTTTTTTTTAACTTTGCATTAATGTAGCCATTGATTTTATGTGATTAAGCTTTTTGGACTGCACATACAGTAAGGATTTTACTATATCTTCATTTATTACTGAATCTCTAATTTCATAGTGTTAATAAAAACTATACATTATTGATAATAAACAGCATACATTTTATGTTGTGCATATTATAAACTAAATGTTTTTATCATAAGACACCCCCAAACCCTCATAGAACAAGGCAAGGTATAAACACATAAATATCAAAATAATGTAAAATAAAATACTCAGCTGAATGTACTTTGGGATGTGTCTATTCTAAATATAACATATTTAGTATCCATATTATATTTCCATAAGGGAATTTTCTTCCCTTTTAAAACTTATTTGAAGACATACTAAATAGCATTACTATATTTGTACTGGGTTGAATAATGTCCCCTCAGATTCATATTAATCTGGAACCTCAGAATGTGAACTTATTTGGAAATAGGGTCTTTGCAGACCTAATGAAATAATTCATTAAGATGAGGTCATATTAGGTTAGAGTAGGCCCTAAATCTAAAGACTGGTATTCTTACAAGAAGGCTATGTAAAGACACAGACGGGTTTCTGGGCAAGATGGTCGAATAGGAACAGCTCCTCCGATCTGCAGCTCCCAGCAAGACCAATGCAGAAGGCCGGCGACTTCTGCATTTCCAACTGAGGTACCTGGTGCAGCCCATTGGGACAGGTTAGACAGTGGGTGCAGCACTGTCTAACTGCTCGTGGAGGGTCAGCAGAAGCAGGGAAAGGCGTCGGCCTCACCTGGGAAGTGCAAGGGGTCGGAAACTCCCTCCCCTGTTCAACAGAAGCTGTGATGGACTGTTCTGTGAGGGATGGTACTATCTGGTCCAGATACTGTGCTTTTCCCACGGTTTTTGCAACCCGCAGAATAGGAGATTCCCTCAGGTACCTACACCACCAGGGCCCTGGGTTTCAAGCACAAAACTGGGCAGCTGTTTGAGCAGACACCTAACTAGCTGCAGGAGTTTTTTTTCCGTATCCCAGTGGTGTCTGGAACCCCAGTGAGACCGAGCTGTTCACTCCCCTGAAAAGGGGGCTGAAGCCAGGGAGCCAAGTGGTCTAGTTCAGCAGATCCCACCCCATGGAGCCCAGCAAGGTAAGATTCACTGGCTGGAAATTCTCGCTGCCAGCACAGTAGTCTGAAGTTGACCTGGGATGCTGCAGCTTGGTGGGGGAAAATGCATCTGCCATTACGAGGCTTGAGTAGGTGATTTTCCTTTCACAGTGTAAACAAAGCCGCCAGGAAGTTTAGGCTGGGCAGAGCCCACCACAGTGTGGCAAAACCATTGTAGTCAGACTACCCCTCTAGATTCGTCCTCTCTGGGCAGGGCATCTCTGACAGAAAAGCAGCAGGCCCTGGTCATTGGAGAAATGCAGATCAAAACCACAATGAGATACCATCTCATGCCAGTTAGAATGGCGATCATTAAAAAGTCAGGAAACAACAGACGCTGGAGAGAATGTGGAGAAATAGGAACGATTTTACACTGTTGGTGGGAGTATAAATTAGTTCAACCATGTGGAAGACAATGTGGCAATTCCTCAAGGATCCAGAACCAGAAATACCATTTGACCTAGCAATCCCATTACTGGGTATATATCCAAAGAATTATAAATCATTCTACTGTAAAGACATATGCACATGTATGTTTATTGAAGCACTATTTACAATAGCAAAGACTTGGAACCAACCCAAATGCCCATCGATGATAAGACTGGATAAAGAAAATGTGGCACATATACACCATGGAATACTATGCAGCCATAAAAAAGAAGGAGTTCATGTCCTTTGCAGGGACATGGATGAAGCTGGAAACCATAATTCTCAACTAACACAGGAACAGAAAACCAAACACTGCATGTTCTCACTCATAAGTGGGAGTTGAACAATGAGAACACATGGGCACAGGGAGGGGAACATCACACACTGGGGCCTGTTGGGGGGTAGGGAGGAAGGGGAGGAATAGCATTAAGAGAAATACCTAATGCGTGTGGGGCTTAACACCTACATGATAGGTTGATGGGTGCAGCAAACCACCATGGAACATGTAACAAACTTGCACGTTCTGCACATGTATCCCAGAACTTAAAGTATACATATATAAAAGACACAGACACACACAGAATGCCATGTATGATGAAGATAGAGACTAAAGTGATGCAGCTACAAGCCAAGGCATGCCAAGGATTGCTGGCAACCAGGAAAGAATCAGGGAACAGATTCTCACTTAACACCTCTGGAAGGAGCCAACCCTGCCAACACCCTGATTTCAGTCTTCTGGCTCCCTGAACTGTGAGACATTAAATTCCTATTGTTTTAAGCCACCCAGTTTCTAAAATTTGTTAAGTCAGTACTAGGAAACTAATACAGTATACTAGCCTAACTCAAAGTCTCAAAAACCCCTTTCTCTGTGCACACATAAATTGAGCCCCTAGTGTGTGCTCCACAAATAACTGCCAGTTCACACCCTTGAAAAGGAAAAGTTAATTGCCTATAATAATATAAACGAGAGGCACTTTCACAATAATTTTAAACAAAATATATTCTGATGAAGAAAATCCACTTTCTCCTTCTGTAGAAAATACACTATGGCTTAATGTAAAATGCTTTGCTGTAGTTGCATTTTAAAGAGTTTTATCATGTGGATACTATGTATGACATATTACTGTCAAAAGAACTGACAAAAATAAAGGCTATCAAATTTCATGCCTCAAAAAGATGCTACCCACAGATATAAAGATTTTTATCATTTTTTTGTCAACAGCCATAGTTGTTGCCATGCATCTATCACATTGACTTTCATTAACATGACCATTAACATGGAAAGATACCAATAAAACAAACTGTATTTGTAACACTTATGAGAAAAAGCTGATGCAGTGTATTTCCTTGGTTGATGAGCTTTCCTGATATTGTAACATGGAGGAAAAAAAGGTAAAAAAGAATAATAAAACAGGAATAAGTGAAAATTGCTAATTTTTTCACTTTGCTTTTGCAGATCACGAATGCATTTTATTTAGAATTTCCTATGTACTTTTACATTCATAGCTAAATATGTCACTGAGTTTATGGAAAAATATTAACTGAATGAACTGTTTATAGAAAAATGCTTACAACATGGTCCAAAGGCATGTTTAAGCTGTCATTTTGATGTTCTATCACCCTCTACTGATCAGTGAACCAAATTACATTTAGCCTTTTTCCCCACCAAAGCTGGTGTCTTTTCCAAGGCTAAAAAAATATTTCTTGTACATTTACTAAATCTATAACATCTGTTCATAAATAAAAATTCATATTGAAAATAAACAGAAAGAAAGTTATCTGTTTATGTCTCTGTTAGCTCCTCAGTGAAAGTTAGAGACTATTTTATATTTATATCCTTAGCAGCCAACATACTGCATATAGCACTGTGTATATACTCAAAAAATACTGGCTAAATGAAATGTTGAGGCAATTTGCACAATTATTGCTGTCTTCATTTATCATTTTTATAAAGTTCTTTATTTCATAAATATCATTACTATGTGGATTTATAAAAGTTGGTAAAACAGATATTTCTAATCTCTTGATTTTATAAATGCTAGCTATTTTGACTTCAGTATAATTAACAGTTTCTATTGATAGTCATTTTTACTGTGGTTTAACATGGGCATTTTTCTGGTTATCTGCTATTCTGAATGGTTGCACATTATTAACTGGGGCTTTTTGTTGGTTAGAGTTACGATCAGCTGCCGGTGGTGGAGAAAACCTGAAATACCATTGGCTTAAGGTCTGATCTGAGTTTATTTCTGTCACACATAAACCTATGTAGTCCAGGGTGACATGAAGTTTCCATAGTCATCAGGATCCTGGCTCTCTCTGTTGTTCAGCTCCATAATGCATAAACTCTGTACACTAAAAGGAATAGGTAAGTACAGAGCCTCTGGGAGAGTAGACTCAAATAACTGCATGACATTGCAGAGTGGAGGCTGCTGGTATAGTCTGACAGAAGGTGCTGATGTATGTAATGGTCCACCAAAGCTACATAAGATCAGTGTGCTCAGTTGTGAGCTACTTGATGCACTGCAGATTTCACAAATTAATATCCTAAAAAATTCTGATCACAAATTGGTACTCATAGTGCCCAAAAATCTTACTCAGTTTCTCTGGTAACATAGTCTCCCAGTCTCCATCAAAATGATGCTGTTCCTTCTTCAGATCTCTTCTCCTCCCATCCTGTCTTTCTGATCCTCTCTCCCTGACATCCTTACATCCTCACTTTTACCGCAGTGCTTCATTCTTCACTGAAGACATGGAAGCCATTTTATTGGCCCTCTTCATCTTTCTGCCATCATATCTGCAAACTGTTAACCGAATTTGTACCCGTTTTTCAGCTGTATTGCAAGAAGTGTGCTTATAGCGGCAGTCAGCCATAGAGGTGAAGTTGCAGGGATTTACTCAAGGCTATGGTTTTGCCAAATGAATAAGAATAAAAGAGGCAACAGAAGTAAAGGGATATGTAATGTATTGGTTGAGATGATGTTTAATGGAATCTAAGTGAGAGTAAGGAAAGAAATGAGGACCAGTGAGGTGAGGACTGTGACAATATAGAAACATCTATAAGTTATAGGTCCTATGGAGTTCCTGTTCATAATTTTCGCCTATTCATTACGTCATTTGTCTTTTTCTTATTGAGTGATAGAATTCCTTATATACTCCGAATACTATCTTTTGTTAGTTGTTAGGTTTGTGTTTTTATTCTGTGGCTTTTATTTTTCATCTTTTTCTTGATGTATTTTGATGCAGAGATGTTTTCAATTTTACCAAATTTGTATTTTATGGTTTATGATTTTTTTCTCCAAAGACTGGATTGCAAGCTTGAAGATTTATGTTTTTAAGTAATAATATCTTTTATTTGCATAGAATTATAAATTACAAACTCTTGTTTTGCTTAATCCTTTTACCTATTATTTGAGACAGATAGGCTAGAGGATATTAGCTCCCATTTTACAGACAAAGAGTGGAAACACTGTCCCCATATTTAGTATAAGACAGAGATGGGATGTAAGCCCTGAGTCTCCATACTCACAACTGCTTTCTTCCCATGACTTTGTGATACATCATTTTAAAGTAATCTGATTGCACAATGTTTAATTACAGTGTAAGAGTAACATCTATAGCATCTCTTCTTGGCAGATTACCTCTGGAGCCAAACCAACCTAATTAATTACTCATAGACTGACACATTTTAAGGCACCGTTATACTTCTAACTCAATTTCCCAGCTATGTTTGAGGGCCCCATGAGTCAAAATGTCAATAAAACTGACCTGAAAGGACCAGGGAATACATGGTCAAGTATGTTTCCAAGTGTGACCTAGGCCTGGCACATCCTCACCAATTGCTTAGATGGCAAGTGAAGGCAACAAAATGAAGAGAGTAGTGGGAAGGCCCACTTAGGGGTTGACACTGATGAAAAACACAATAGTGTCAGATCCTGTTTTCAGGATTAAAATCCCCAGAAGCCAGTTGCTGGTCTGCTATCTACTACTACTATCAGCTACCGGAGACTAGAGTATGCAAGGGAATATTAATTAACCTGCCTGCCTGGGGCCCAAAAAGCCAAACACCACTAATTTTAATCCATGCCAAACCAAGAAAATGGTTCATTCCTTTTTGATCTGGGTTTTAAGGAGAGTGCTGATCGTCAGAGAAACCAGGAAATTCTATCCCGAAGCCCAAGGGAAGATATAGTGGACATTTCCCAGGTGCAGGGGGCAAGACAATCTGCCACCATGAAGGGAAGAAAGCTATCTTGGTAAGCTTTGGTCTTCCACAAAACATGGAACCAGAGACAAGCAAGACTAGGGCCTGAATGACCAATCCTGATGAGAGCAGGACTTCTTCACAGAAGGTGCATAGGTCCCTGAGGAGAAGGGTCTAAACATCCTAAAATTGCAAGCAAAATTTTGAGTACATACATGTTTTTCTGGTGAAGGGGTCCTTCATTCTCAAATCCTGAGCTTTTAGAGGAAAAAACTAAGCTAGTTGCGGGCTAGGATACAAAAGCCAGCAGATATACTTAGAGCCAACCAAGTCTGAGGGCTCTCAA